TGTGTGTGTGTGTGTTTTAATTAAGTCTGGAAGGACCAGAATGCAAATATTAATTGGAAGCATTATTATAAGATGTTATTTTTAATTTAAAGGAAACCTTACATACATGACTGTTTTTCTTTTCAGTGAGATAAATTTACTGTGTAATATTAGAGTTCATCCCCCTGATTGCACAGAATATCCTTGCTCAGGAAGACACTGATGAATGTCACTCTTTCAGATGGAGGGTTGAGGGTGGCGGGTTACTAGAGTTGATTTTGACCAAGGATTATCTTTTAGTTTCTTTCCGTTTCCATCTATACACGTTAGGAACTCTCTGCAATAGTCTCCCTGAACAGCTCAAATCACGTTTAGAATTTTCCATATGTTGAAGATATATTTTAAAATACAAAGTCCCTGACATTCTTTATACTTTAAATGACTCAGTGTTTCTTTTTCTTGCTTTGTTTTGAAAGGGAATGTGGAAGTGTTTGCAGAGCAGTTTTCCTGTCTGCCTTGATCTCATAAAACCAACATTCTGTAAGTCATCGCCATTTCATTTACAAACTGCTTTCAGACTGGGCTCCCCAGGGGCCTGGGCTCTTAGCAGCCTCTGCCACTCTGAATCCATCTTCCCCATCTCCTGTCCCTAAGGGCGGCCTTTTCACTAAATGCCCCTCCGAGGTGACTGCGGCCAACCAGGGTAATAGTGCTGTAGAACAAGCCTCCAGAATGACACGAGTGCTGCTCATGTGCCCAGCACCATGCCTGTCCCCTGTGGGAATTACCTGGACAGGTGCACATTAGCCTCTGGAGGAGGCGGGAGTTATTCTAGATTTTTAGAGGAAAAACCAATATCCAAAGAGCTTGTGAATTTAAATAGAAATTTGCACCAGAATATGCATTTTTCTCTTTACACTATCCTGATGCGTAGTGATTTATCCAGTTGAGTTGATCGCTTTTTTTTTTCTCTTGCTGAAGTAAATAGAGTAAAAGGTGGAGAGTTTAGGCAAAAAGAAGATTCTTAAAAGTAATAACTATTTTTATATCTTATAATCATCGATGTACCTTACTCTTTTCAGAAGGTGGGCTAATTAAATCAATTTCGCAAATTAAAAAGACACGCACACACAATCTGATGGCTTCTACATGTGTCTGTAGATCGTATTGACTGAAGGATCACCGGATCTGACTTTGACACTCCTTCCAGAGCATGATCAGATCTTTATCCCTTCTACATAGTCATGGAAGGAACACAGAGACAACATTAGTAGAACAAAATATATGATATTTATTAAACATATGTGGGCACAGGTTATAATATCAAAGTTGAGCATGCTGAAGGGATTACTCGTTTAACGAAACACCTGTTGGTACTGAAAACATTCAGTGATTAACTTTCCACACGTACAAAATTCTCTTTAAAGTGATAAAGAAAAAAAAATCACAAGTTAAATAAATACAGTGATTTAGCTGGTCCAAAAAAGGCCTAAGGCACAAATTAAACCAGGGGACGAGCACATCAGAATGAAGCTTGCCTGGGCCACACAAGGCTCTCTCTCACCGTGGCTCCCGCAGCCCTAACACAGATCCTCAGGATCAAGAGGCACCTGCAAGCGGGGAGTCCTCTCCTCCAGGTTCAAGTCTTGCCAGGCGCCCACGCTCCTCGTAGACAGGCTTCTCTGTCCAGAGAAACCCTGCCTCTAATACTTTTACGGGTAAACAAAACCTTCACACTGCATCCAACATTCCTGGCCTGAATAACATGAAATTTCAAACTGATGCCCTTTTCCTTCCCAACCAAAGTCCAGCAAAACAGAAAATAAATTGTGAGGGAATCTCCTGATAGGATTCAGTGTCTACATGGAAAATGAACGGCGATGCAGCACAGTGGTGGACGCTGGCTGTGTGTTTGAAATGTGACCTCGTATCCCCTTTCCCTCTCTCCTGCCCCCCACCTTCACTTTTCTTCCTGTCTCAGAAGTGGATCAGAACCTTGGCAGTTTCCATCCTGCTTGCGCTGTGTACGTGAGGAAACAACAGTCACCCTTTCCAGACTTCAAGCCACAGGGTTCCAGGGTCTTTGTCCTTCCGTGAAAAGTGTGCATCTCAAGTGCCTAAGTCAGAGTTTTCTTTGAGGTTAACTCCAGGACTCTCGTGTATGGGGTGTAATTCCTAGAAGGCATGACGATTTCACGAGTCCTGCCTGTTTGGCTGAGAAATGAGAAAAGGCAGATCAAGATGAGACAAAACTTTCCATTTTCTTCACAAGAGAAGGCAACCCTAGGAAATGGCCTTTAAACACTTAAAAAATAAAAAGGCTGTAATGATGCAGTTTAATATTTCCTTTGAACATTACAAAAGGGTCCTGCAATGGACTCAATGTTTATGTCCCCCAAATTCCTATGTTGTTATGCAAACCCCCGAGGTAACAGCATTAGGAGGTAGGGCCTTCAGGCAGTGATTAGGTCAAGAAGGTGAAGCCCTCCCGAATGGCATTAGCGCCCTTATAAGAGACCCCAGAGAGATCTGGCATCCTTTCTGCCATGTGAGGACACACAGAGAAGATGCCATCTGTGAACCAGAAAGTGGACCCTCACCAGACACCAAATCTGCTGGCACCTTGGTCTAAGACTTCCCGATCTCCAAAGCTGTGAGAAATGAATTTCTGTTGTTTATAAGCCACCCAGCTTAGGGTATTTTGTGATAGCAATTCTGAACAGACTTAGACAGAACCATTATTTTTAGCAACTTTTAAAGTCTGTACTAGGCACTGATGATTCAGAAAAACATAAAACATAAAACTTTCCTTGCATTCAAGGAAACTATAATTTGGTGGGAAAGATATGTATGTAAATAATTTATTTTTTTTACCTTTTACTATTTATTTATTTTTGCAGTTTTTGGCCAGGGCCGGGTTTGAACCCGCCGCCTCTGGTATATGGGGCCAGCACCCTACTTCCTGAGCCACAGGCACCGCCCTATGTAAATCATTTTAATATACTGTGCTAGGTACTACCATGGAGACAGAAAGAGCTGTGCTGTGTATTATCTGTGCACCTCTTCAGATCTGCTCTCCCCTTTCCCACGCTGCTCAGTGGGAAGCTGACCGAAGGCCAGCATCAGTGGGTTACCTTGCTCTTTAGCTTCCAGGTCCTTCTGACCACCTGGGAGATGCAGAGTGGGTCAGGGATCGAGTGAACAGAAGGGTCAGGACATCTGTCCCCGCCCAGCCAGGCTGCAGCCACAGTGCAGCTTCCCTGGCTCTCTTCCCCTGCCTCTTCAGACACAGGGCAGGAACAGCTGCCACTCTAACTAGCTCCAGAGCATGCCGCTTGTCCCTCAGGTTTTCCCTTAAAGCTGCCAAAACTTTTGCAAATCGTCTTTTCATTTAAATCTCTTTAATCTTCTCTTCCTGCCAGGACCCTGAGCAATATAAGAATGAACGCATTGGCTCGGCGCCTGTAGCTCAAGAGGCCAGGGTGCTTAGCCACATACACCAGAGCTGGAGGGTTCAAATCCAGCCTGGGCCTGTTAAACAACACTGAAAAGAAAACTCCAACCAAAAAATGGCTGGGCAGTGTGGCAGGCACCTGTAGTCCCAGCTGCTTGGGAGGCTGAGGCAAGAGACTTGCTTAAGCCCAGGAATTTGAGGTTGCTGTGAGCTATGACACCATGGCACTCTAATCAGGGTGACAGCTTGAGACTCTATCTCAAAAAAAGAATGAATGCATTATGGGCAAACCAAGGGTAGAATAATTTGGCATCACCAGGAAATTTGCACAGAGAAGATGACTCTTAAGGGATGCCTGGCATTCCTTCAAGGTTGGCAAAGAGGGGATGGGAATTCCAAGCAGGAGGAATAGTATGTACAACAGCAAAGGAGGTGAGCACACAGGTGGTGGATGTGGAGCAGAGACACACTGGGTGTGCCTGGAGCAAAGAGTTCATAATGGAAAGTGCTGGAAAGTAGCAAAAGGTGAGGCCCAGTGGAGAAGGGCCCCGCGTGCTTGGCTAAGGAGTTCAGAAGAAGACAGGGAACCATGACAGGTTTTTAAGGAACAGCATGATTTGCTCATATTTTTATTCTTGGAAGATTCCTCAGGTACTGTTGAGGGTTGACTGCGGAGGGATGAGTCTGAAGGCAGAAGGTCAAGTAGAAAATTCTCACTAAAATTTAGGAGGTGAAAGAGAAAACTTGAATTCGAACAGGAAGCCTGGAAGGAAAGTAGCAGGGAAAAGTTAGAGATGCTTGGGAGGTAGAATTTGGTAACTAAGATGGAGACATATCCCATTTCTTTTCCTCCTGGACATGTAACTCAATTACATTTCCCAGCCTCCTTTGCAATTAGGTGGGCCATGTGACTACGCAGGCAGACATGATTTATATTACTTCCAGGTGAAACCTACATAACCCTCCACACACACTCTCTATCTTCTCTTTTATACAAAGGACACCGTGGAGGACCTAGGAGGACTCCAAAGCCCGGGAAGGGCCTCTAGACAGAAGAATCCTGGGTTCCTGAATGACTGTGTGGAGTGAAGCCCATACCAATCTGCCTTAGATGCAACATGAGAAATTAACCTTGACCATGCTAAGCCACTGAGATTCACGGGTTGTTTCACACAGCAGCTGCATTCCTTATCTAACTAATGCAATGACAAAATGCATATAGAAATGTAAGAGTCAGTTCCTTTTGCTCTAACTTTCCGTGTCCAAGTGGCATGGGGTATATTAGAAGCATAGGAGGGAAATTTTAAGCTTCAAATGTCTTCCCCCAGGAGATTTAATATATCTTCTGTGCCTTCTCTATTCTCTCTATACCTTGAAAATCACTATTGTACGAGCTGCTGATTCATGGTTGGAAGCATCTTATTGCACGCATTGGTCTATGCATTTGTCTCCACCACTAGGTATAATTATTTTCAGGGTGAAAACCACATCTCCATCATGTCCATGACCCCAGTAGCTCCCAAGGTCCAGGCACGGAGCTATAACCTCATATATGGAGGACAAAGGAAACCAAAGTTTAAAAGAGTTTTCAGGACTGGTGATCTCAGTGTCACCTGCCGTAAAGAAGAATCCATGGGACTAGGCAATTCAGGAGTCCCCAGTGACCTGAGCAGGCAGTTTCATGGAATGCCAGGGGCAGAAGCCAGATGGCGATTTGTGCCAACTCCTGTGAAAATTCCACATAACAGAAATGGTCTCCAGTGACAATATCCTAAAAGCCCATAAAATGCAGAAATATTTATAAAGGTGAAACTTCTGCATTTCACAAACAGGCTCTCATATCCTAAACTTTTAAAAAAGAAGTGGGGTATTTTATTTAGTTGATCATAAGGAAACAACAGGATTTCAAAAACATAAACAATCTCAAGCATAGAACTGAAATTCAACCATTTCCTTTAACACATTCAGGCTATTGTTAACCTTTTATTAATCCATAAAGGGGCAGTTCCCCTGGGAGAAACAATAGCAGAATCAGCCAATCAAGCTTTGACAAAAGGCTACGTTGTGTTCTGGTCTTTGCAACAGAAATAGGAAAATGCTAACCTTTTAAAGCACTTACTACGCGCCAGGCGCTTATGGCCATGGGGAATATTTTTTATCAAATTGCACCACTTAAGACATAATTTATGAGTTTGCTGGAAACTAAGATTTACCAAGGGACAGGAGAAAGAAAAGTCTCTTTTCTTTCGGTTTTTGCTTTTTCACTTTTCTTTGTAAATGAAGGCTAGATGATGTGAATTCATTCTCAATAACTTTAACATAATCAAATTTTTAATCCAAACTTCTGAGCCTTTAAAAAGAAATAGGAAAAAAATAACAATAAAAATACATAGGTGTTTAAAAGGCCCTGCCCTCACAGTGAGTCCCTTCTCACCCTTCCCCGCTCTCCTTCCTCTCTGATGAGATCTTTGCTTGCTAGAAATTTATGTAACACAAAGATCAGATGAAAGAGAGGAAGATCTGGAGGAGAAAGTGGGGGCAGGAAGCTGGTTCTGCAGAGAGTGGTTGTAGGGTAAGACCAATCTCAGGCAGGCTGGTAGCAGGAGGTGTGCTCAGTATGAGTAAGTGAGTGTGGGAGCAAAACAATCCCAGGCTCGGAAGCACCTGCCATTCACTGAGCTTAGAGACTGGGAAAGTGGTGGTGGCATCTACAGAAACAGGAATGTGCCGCCACTTATGCTCTATGCCTGTCAGCTCACTCAGACCCTCTCAGCAAGTTTCTGAGATGATCACCACCAATACCTTCCTTACTGAGACTCACAGAGGTTTAGGAATTTGCCAAAGCTGCAGATGTAGCAGGACCCAGAACCCAACTCCAATCCTGGTCTAACTTTCAAGACAATATTCCTCTTATTCTTGTGGGTTCTTTCTCCTTCCTCCCTTCCTTCCTCCTTCCTTCCTTTTCTTTCTTTCTTTTTTTTTTTGTTGGTTTGTTTGTGTTTGGTTTCATTTTGTTTTTCTGACATAGAGTGTCATTCTGTTGCCCAGTCTAGAGTGCCATGGCATCAGCCTAAGTCACAGCAACCTCAAATTCCTGGGTCAAGCGATCCTCCTGCCTCAGCCTCCTGAGTAGCTGCAACTATAGTCACAATGTCCAGCTAGTTTTTTCTATTTTTAGTGAGGGGGTAAGGATCTTGCTCTTGCTCAGGCTGGTCTCAAACTCCTGAGCTCAAACAATCCTCCCACCTGGACCTCCCAGAGTGCTAGGATTACAGGCATGAGTCACTGTGCCCTGCTTCAAGTCAGTACTATTCTTAACCACTACTGGGAAGAAGTGACTTTGAAAGAAAAGCTGGTATGCTCAGTGATGCAACAGCAAGTATGGAGTCCATGTAGGCACTAGCTGGGAGCGCCCAGCAGGCTGAGGACTTGTTTTCAAGAGAGATGTTAGCACTCCCTTGTGGCTCAGCTACAGAGGGGAGAGGCAAGCTCTGAGATCGGATGTGATCTCTGTGGGAACTTTTGGAACCAAGACAGAGCCATAAGGAGCTCCCATGGTGGGGATCTTGAAGGAAGAAGGGGAGAGGGACAGGCCAGGGAGGTAGAGAGAGAACCAGGAGAGAAAAGTCCTACAAGAGTAAGAAGCAGGCTGAGAGATCCTGCCTTTCTGCTTAGGAAGGGCCGCTGAATGTCACAGGGAGATGGCTCCATTCAGCAACACTGACTGATTGCCCACTACACGGCAGGCACTGTCCTGAGGAGGTTCCTGGGAGACCACAATCCATGAAATGAATTGTAAGACCCTGTCCTCATGGGTCTTACATTTTAGGGAGGACATAGACAGAGAAACACAAACATAAGCAGGGGTCACTTCACTCAAGGCCTTTATTAAGTAACTTAATTAGATTATAATAAAGATCAGCTTCCTAACTTTTCCATTTAGTGTGTACTTTTCATTCATTCAACAAATCCTTATTGAAGATAACCAAACGCAATTGTTTTTTCTAGCAGGACAAAAACAAATAGAGCAGCCATACTGTAAGTCAAATGCTATTAGCAAGAGCACAGCATATGGCATTTGCAGCTGTGTGGACGTGTGTCAGACACGCCATGCTACTCTATAACAAGATGTGTGCCCGGTGCTTGGAACACATGGGGACCACTCTCCTGCTTCAGCTGACAGAAACCTCATCAGTCACTGGGCCTTCCAGAGTTTTATGCGGTGTCTAGAAAGGGCTTCAAACCACTGATAGTTCAAGTTCAGTTGAAAAACCCAAAGCATACTCAAGCACTATACACTTGATTAGGCCATCAATCCATTTTATAAAATCACTAACACCAATAAAAATTAATGAGACTGTCTTAGCTTACCCAGATTCATTTATATTCATTTATACAATGTCTTACATACAAAATCAAAGTTTTGGTTTTGTTAATAGTAATCATATTAATAGTTAACTGTTTAGTAAGTGCTGCACTTTGGTCCAGTTATGATGTTACATGCTCAATATACCTGTTTTCATTTAATCTTCATGGCAACTCAATGAGGTTTGATATTATCATCATCACTCCCTTTTCAAGGATGAAAGAGTGGAGACATTCCAGAGATTGAGTAGCCTGCCCAACACTGTGCTCAGCTAGCAGCTGGCTGGGCGGGGAATCATGGCAGCCTGAGACTCCCCAACTGGACCACCCTCATGAGTGCTTTATAGCACAAGAACAGGGAAGAAGGACAAAACACTTCTGCTTAATTAAGGCTTAATTTAATATTTTCATTGATCTAAACTATTCTCAAGGAGCAAAAATATTCTGAAAAATACTGAAGAATCTTTTAGTACTTAGACGCAGATGTGAAGCCCAAGTATGAACTACGAATTTCATTAGAATATACAAAACACCAGTTAGCAACTCTCTATTATGTATTTTCAAACTACAAGTGTACCACAGCAAGACTCAAGAAAGCCTGGTTCTAATCCTGGCTGTGAGGCTTTCATTGAATCACTTTGTCTCTCTGGGTGTCAATTTTGGTATCCAGAAAACATGGGCTCGGCACCTGGGCTCAGTGAGTAGGGTGCTACCCACAAACACTGCGGCTGGCAGCTTCAAGCCCAGCCCAGGCCTGCTAAACATCAATGACAACTGCAACCAAAAAATAGCTGAGCATTGTGGCGGGTGCCTGTAGCCCCAGCTATTTGGGAGGCTGAGGCAAGAGAATCGCTTAAGCCCAAGAGTTTGAGCTTGTGAGCTGTGACGCCAAGGCACTCTACCAAGGGGGACACAGTGAAACTCTGTCTCAAAAAAAAAATGAGGATTAAACTAGATTGAGAGTTCCAATGTGTTTTTGACCGCAGAACTCTTTATTCTAATAAAATCTTACTTGGAATCCAATATACAAAACAGATTAAAAGCTGACTTTCTTAGGTTGGGGGGCAGGACGTCCCACAGGCCAGCTCCTCCCTGACCCTCCTTATACTCTGGGACATCCTGAGGCCTCTCTAGAAGCCCCAGCTCAGAGTAAGGCTGTCCCAAGAAGCGCAGGTGGAAAACCACTGCCCCAAAGTTGTTTCTCACTCAGCCCCCAGACCCGCCCGGCGCCTTTCACATAGTAGGCACTTAATAAATATTTGCGAGGAAACGAATGAAATATTATTCTGCCTTTTCGGAAAGGCGGAAATGTAGTTTTCATTTCCTCTGCTGATTGACCTAGGTAGTTAAACTGCTAAGATGGATCCTGGGGGAAACCGAATGTTACATTTATGGAAAAGCTGCTTTTAGATCCTGAAGTGGCTTCCAAGTTCACGGCGGCCATAAGTTAAGGGTCTGTCAGCACTTCCATTATGAAAACCGCTTTGTGGTTTCATAACTTAGCCATAAAAGTTGGCTTCGGGCGATACTTGGGCATACAAATTGAAAAGCTTGTTTTAAGCCAAAATGTGGGAAGTAGAAAACAAACAATTTATTGGTTTCAGACATAATTCTGTACCCGCTTTAGCCAAACAAGATTTACTATGTGGGCAATTAGAGTGGACCAAGCCACTTGGCTTTTGAATAACAAAAAAGAGGGGAAATGGCCAAATTATTTCAAAGGGGGGGGGGTCTCTGAACACAATCGATCGTTCTTTTCAGTTATATTTTCATCAGGTACTTTGTACCACACGTTGATGAGACCCAAAGTCTATTCATATATTTTCTTCTTCTTTTTTTTTTAAATATTAACTGTTAATTATATTAGAATAATACAATGGCTTTGCTTCTACCCGAAGGCAAGCAGTGTAAATGAAAACAGTGGCAGTCAAAGAGCTTCACGCTGATCTTTGAGAATTAAGAGTGACACATTTTAATGAACAAAAAAGATAACTTAGTAAAGAATAAAAAAAATGTAAAGTAAGGCTGAGGCAGGTGGATTGCTTGAGCTCAGGAGTTTGAGACTAGCCTGAGCCAGATCAAGACCCTGTCTCTACTAAAAATAGAAAAACTAGCCAGGAGTAGTGGTGCACACCTGTAGTCCCAGCTACTCGGGAGACTGAGGCAAGAGGATCACTTGAGCCCAAGTGTTTTAGGTTGCTGTGAGCTATGATGCCACAACACCCTATCCAGGACCACAGAGTGAGACTCTATCTCCCACCTAAATAAGTAAATAAATAAATAAATAAAACTAAAGTAGGGAAATGAGGACTTAACTACATAATGTTAGATCTGGCAGGGATAGGGGAGGCACCTGGCCAAATCACTGACTTTACCTATTAGGAAACTGGAAGCCCAGCAAAGAAAAGCCTGTCTGAGAGCACCGTGCCAGTGACGGGGAGGACTAGTGCCAGGTGTGCCAACCCCCAGCTTGTGATCAGCATCACTGTTCCCCACCAGAAGCGCACATTCAGGATTCCAGGGTTCAGCATCTGCCTGGACTCCTGTGTCTAGCACAGTACACACATGCCTCTGCCTAGCCAAGAATCCACCATTTCATACACAGGACATAACACGTTTTGTGATTTTGATTGCCTAAATCACAAGTCACAAGTTATCAGCATCCTTGTTAGAAACTTGTTTTGTGTCCTTCTTGTGCTAAGTTGAGAGCACCAGAAACCGTGAGTTAGTTACCAAATGCAAGTTACCGGGTTTGATTACCAGGGAAAGACGCAGGCATGGCAGCAGCTTAACAATGAACAGGCCAGTTCTCCAGCTTGGAAACAAAACCCAACACACCAGTACACTTATCCCACATGTGCTGATGACTGAAGCAGATCGTTCATTTATGAACTGGATCTGTGTTTCACAATACAGCTATACAGCACTGGGGAGTAGAGGAATATTGCTCAAGCGTGAGACCCTATCTATTCCGTATCATGACAGCACCTTGTACGCCCCTCTCCTACTATCCTAAATGTCTTTTGCACACCTGTCTCTCCCTCCTGACAGTGCTCTGGGGTAGGGGCCCAGTCTCACTCCTCTCCATATCGTAACTATTTGGCACCAGTAAGATACTTGATGCCAGATACTCATCAACAGCTATTTGATGAATGAATGAAGGAAGGAAGGAACAAATGCATGCACTCACTCACAGAGCCCATCTCTCCCTCACATGGCTTCCCCAGGTCTTTACTTCATTCTTCTCTCCACCTGCACAAAAACCCCTGCTCCTCCACAAACCAGTGGGACCCCTCAGCAGCTACCACTTAGCTTTGCAGAATATTATTGAAAGAAAGAATGCCAGAATTTTAAGAACAGCCCAGTAAAGTTATTTTCTTAAGTCAAAGAGGAATGTTAGTACCCCCAACAGGAAATTCCTAAATACCTGGGTAGAAGATCACAGCCCACTCCAATCTCTCTGGTTTCCACTTCAGTCTTGGCCTGGGTTTCTGTTAAATAGTCCAACCTGCTTTGTAGTTCATTATTCTAGCGAAGGAGAAAAAAGCACTTTTAGTAAATCAAGTATGTTGCCCCACAAATACGCATGATACAATTTATATGCATTTTGTGATCTTCCCCTGGGACAAGGACATCTATCACGATGTGTTTGTTGCATATCTCTTACACAGCAGGTTTATATTGAAGAAATATATTGATTGAGTCCTTATCGATAACTTTCTGTGCATGTACATACATGAGCCTCTAATTTTACATACATGAAAACAAACAAAATATCCTAATCTATTCATATTAAATCTTCTTTTTCCCCCCCAGTCAACAATTTGCGGTAGATAAATTTCCATGTTTATTCGTTTTCTCTTTATGTCAACAAACGAGTTACTTCATAGTACGCCATTGTATGGATACATCATTTATTTAACGAGTCACCTGTTGACAGGCATTTAGATATTTGTCGCTTTCTCTGCCATCATAAATAAAGAGCAGCCCAGCTTTTAATACCCCCTCATGAAACTATAAAATGAGTAAGTCTATTAATTTAATTTAGTGGGAAGTACCTCTAAAACGTAATAATTAGGATTTCATAGGTGTGGAAAATTCAGAATCCCAAACATATAAAGTACAACAAGCTCCTTGGGATTAAAATTAGCATATGGAATAGTTTCTTTCTAGGCCAGAGCCAAACATTACATAAACTGAAGAGTAGATGCTCAGGAATTGGAGATTTGCCCCATAGAGGAAATGAAGGACAAAGGAACCGGAGAGCTGAGGATATTGAAATGAAAATAGATGAAGTGACAGTGCCTGAAACCCAAACAGCAAAAACACACAAAATAATTCAGGGAGAGGCTAATGGTGCTTATCTTTGTGTATGGAGCTTCTTGGACGCTTTTCAAAAAGCTCTTCTACATAATTCTTTGTAATGCTAGACTAAATTTTCATGAAGCAATGACTCTATTTTCCTAGCTGTATTCTTGAAGCATGGCATGCATGAGATAGAAGATAAATATTTACTGAATAAATAAATGTATAACAAGGCTTTTACAATAAGCATGTTAGCTGCATAACTAAAAAAAAATTAAAGCACGTGTCTTTTTTTTTTTTTTTTGAAGTTGGAGCTGAAGATGAAGCACCATTCTCAATAATAGACAGCACATGAAAGTTTGAACGTTCTATATAAATAGAAGCTCACGGCCAGGCCCGGTGTGGCTTATGTCTGTAATTCTAGAACTTTAGGAGGCCAAGGCAGGTGGATTGCCTGAGCTCAGGAGTTTAAGACCAGCCTGAGCAAGAGTGAGACCCCATCTCTAAAAATAGCCAGGCATTGTGGTAGGTGCTTGGAGTCCCAGCTACTTGGGAGGCTGAGGCAGGAGGATTGCTTGAGCCTGGGAGTCTGAGCTTGCTGTGAGCTAGGCTGACGACATGGCACTCTAGCCAGGGCACAAAGTGAGACTCTCTCTCTCTCTCACACACACACACACACACACAAAGCCAGAAAAGAAATAGAAGCTTATTTGTTTTGAGAGAAATAATGTCACTTACAGCTCAGAAGCTCCTGCTCTGAATGGGTGATAAGAAAGAGCAAAGTAGCAGTTCTTGTGCAAACTTATGTTATACACGATGTAAAGGTCTCTAGATCCCTTCTGATAAATAGGAAATGGTGTAACAGAAGAGAATGCATTCCAGATTCCGTAGCAGCTGACAAACTATGACAGATCTGAATCTATCACCTGATCCTCAGGATGGAAGAATGCTGTTGGCTTACTGCCAGGAGTTAACAACATTCACGTACACACACACATACACACTGCTTCCTCAGGAATACGTGAACTTTCCCATTCGCATGGAAAGAGAAAAGCAGAAGAGGCCTGTCCATACTGGAAGCTCCAGCAATCCCGCTGCCTTATCCTTTCTGAGTACAAAGACTAATAATTAATCATGGGGATTTCACAGAATGCTAGGTGCAGCACCTATAGTGAGGAGGCATACAAGACAAGGTTAGCAAATATGCCCCAATTAGTAGACAATGAATCGTGGACAAGTAGCCCAAAATCTTTTGTTCCATTTCTTGAGAACTCTCTGTGTGCGTCCAGACACTCACAGAAGCACAGAAATGAACACTCTGTACTCATGACAATGTAATGCAATCAGTAGAAATATTATATATCATGCAGTATGTGAAATTAGGTGGGGGAATGTAGTTAGCAGTTAAAGAGGTGTGGAATGATTTGCCACCCTTGAGGAGCTCTGTCTTGGGGAGATACAGACAATAGAGCAGAAAACAGAACAACGTGGTAAGTATCACTGCAAGGGGACCTACGGAACTCAGAGGAACTCAAAGGGACAATTCCCTCCCAATGGGGAGAAGGATGACTGGAGTTCCTGGAGAGAGGCAACATAAAGAAAGTCAGAAAAGGTGAAGGAGATGGGTATTGCAGGATTGTGGAA